ATCACATGGATGAACACTTGGCTTTTGGTCACACTGACCATTATCCTTTTAAGCCCTTAAAGCCTGCCTCTCAATAAAGAAGAACTTGTAAGTAAAGTGGTAACATAATATGACTGTTCCATATTTTGAAGTGCCAAAACATGTACTGTATGCACCCCAAACACTTTGCAGTAAATATACATCTACCCTTTGTGCAAGTGATTGTGTATTCTAACCTAATTCATGTAATCTTTCTGGGTAAATATCGGGTCCATTTTCTTTTCTGTTAGCACTAGCTAAACTGTGGAATTAAAAAACAATACCTTACATGATGACAGCATAATAATATGTACACACTGATAGTTGTGAGCAGTTTGTGTATAGATTTACCAAACTGTGCAAAACTGCTTTCTTTAAATATTTATGAATGTTTCCAGCATGCCATGACGTTATCTGAAGTTTGTTTGGAATATACAGTAACTACATTAACATCAAATATATTTACTTCCCAAAACAACATTCATTGCGTATCACTCGTAGCCATGCAACCACAGTAGTGTTAATCTGACAGCTGTCAGTTTCCTGTCAAAACCACAATTTATTTTTTCCATTTATCTAAGGTAAAAAAATGAATTGTAAAGGTAGAAGATGGCAACAAAGCTCCCTGTGGATAAACAGAAGAAAACAAACGACTGCCTCCAAATAAGTAGTTATGAGCAAATTCTATCAAAGTCTATCTATTAAAAGCCAAAGGTAATGTTTTCAGAAGATGAGATATACAGCTATAATTACTTGATCCCAGAACCAAGAACAAGCTGAAGTTTGAGAGATATTTTCAGATATTGTTTATGTTATTATGTTATTGACAGTAGCTGATAATAAAAGATATCACAACTACTGTATTCATTTTAGATTTAAGGTCCTTATTGCATCATTTTTAAATTTTGATTAATTAACTTCACAGTAATGACTCAACTGTTGGACTTTTCTAATCTAATCTTACCTAACATAAATGTGATACAAGGCACTGAATGCTAAAGATGTGCAAAGGTCAAAGACTGTGCAGACACTGAGGAGCATAATATCTGTAATTCGTGTTAATAAGAATACATGTGTATGTAAGTAAAAGTCAAGATAACTTCAGAGAGAGTATCAGTGATTCTAAAACCATTTATAACTATTTGTGCTATCTTGTGTATATTTTTTTATAGCTGTGAACAGGTCAAAGGCTATTTTGAATTACTTCCTTTTTTTAAATGGGCCTTGAAGAAATTTATTTTCTGCAGCAACTGCTCACACATTCATGCAGGTTGATGCATGAATGTGGAAACAATCTGGATCTAAGGAGTAAGAATGGGTGGAATGCAGTTCCTTAGAATAGGGGGAGGAAAAATCAGGGTTCCAGTAATCACAACACAGATGTTTCAAGAACCCAGGCTTTTGATGGACGTCAAAGCTCATGACGGGAAACATAAAGCAGTCATCTTCAGGGGAGACAGTAAGTCTTTGCAATGGGAGTTCTGTTTAGTTTGATAAAAGAGGTCAGAAGTCAAAAGAATCAACTTCTCTGGAATGACTTTCAGATGAGTATGTTTCTGTAACCCCATCAAATCTATCAACAACAACTTTAAGGGCTAAGAACCTGAGGTGCTTCTCTGAGCCTCTTTACTTTACTTTACTTTGCTTTACCCATATTTTAAGTGCACTTGACTAGTAAATAAAAATGTTTGTGGCCTATATATATCTAAATCTATATATAGACAAAGTATCATTCAACAAAAGCACTCAAACACTGTCACTTTAAATCATCATCAACTGTTTTTTAATACAATGGCATCATAAGTCTTTTACACTTTTTATCTGTTGTTTTTTTCCTGCTTGTTGTATGACACTATCATCTCTCACTTTCTCTCTCCCCGAGTTATGTCTTAATTTTACAACACTCTACAGTAGCTGTGTAAGTTTTAAAATGTTGCACTAAATGAATTTGGTTTGTGTGTCACAGAGTGCTGCAGCTACTTGAAAATGTTATTTTTGTTACCATAAGATGATGCTAAATGAAAAAAAGTGCAGATATTTGCAGTTGTTTTTTTAAAATAAGTACTTGAGAATGACTTAAATAAGCTATATCGAGAGTGAACAAATTGACCTAGTTCAGTAAATAAGAACTATGTGGCTCACTACACTACTGAAGAATTTCCCAGAAAAGAAATGTCCAAAAAATGTGAGATTTTGTATATATGACAATAATCGAACCACTGTGCTTGTTGGATTGATTTCCTGTTTCTTAATTTTTACTTAACTTATTCACACTATCCATCAAATAAGTAAATAAAACGAAATCGATATTCAACAAACTATTAAAGAGAAATCTTTTATTCTGGTTGCTTAAGGCTGTAAGAAATGTTGAGAATGTTGAATCCATGATTAAAGTCGCTTCAAAGGCTACGTCCACACTAGCCCGGATAGATTTGAAAATGGCGTTTTCGTCTGAAAACGCTCCGCGTCCACACTAGCGTTTTCACTCATTTTCACAGAGTTGTGCGTCCACATTGAAAACACTTACGTTCCAGTCCTGCGCAAATGCGAGTGACAATTTGAAGAAAAGCTATCTGGAGCATGTACAAGCTGATATTAATCTTTTTTAGGGCTGTCAAAATTGAGAGCAATCAAAACAACTGCTGTATAATGCCCTCCACTATCTTTGTTTAATTGGTCACATGACTGCATCACATGACTAAAATGCATCATCGTTTAAGAAAGTCTGCGTTTTCGAGTGTCCACACTGTGAAGGGACAGCTCCGTTTTGAAATGTATTCATTTTCGAGAGCGTTTTCAAAACACTACGTTTTTCCTTGGGGAAAATGTCATCTCAGTGTGGACGAGAGGCCAAAACGGAGAGAAAACTATGCGTTTTCAAACAAAAACGCATTAGTGTGGACGTAGCCAAAGTCATTTGAAATCTCTTTTCAGGAGTGCTAATGGTCCTATCACTCTCTTTAGAATCAAAGACCCCCTGAGACCTGTGACAGCGGGTGGTAGGTAAGCAGTGGTCTCACTCTCTCTTTTGAATACACAAATAAACATACCCACTCAGACACAGAGACACCATTTGAGTCCCAAATTAGTGTTAATCAGGAAACATCAAAAGGGAGAGACAGCACGGATCAAGCACCGTTTTTCCCTTACAGCAGACCTTCTCAATCAGTTCAAATTTACTTTGATGACACAGAAACTCTGCGGTCTTATCACATATCTTGGGTGCATGTGGAAACTTTGATTTAAAAAAAGGAAGGTCATGAACTTAATAAACTGTTCTGGTCAAGTTTCAAGGTTTTTGGTGGGTATATAACATTCTTCAAAACAATAATAATACTTTTGAAGGAATAGGCATATAATGAGCAAACTGCCAATAACAGGAACTAAAAGGAACCAGTAAAACGCATCACATCAGCAACACAGCTGTGAAGTCTTTTGTCACTTTCCAAGCAAGAACACAGCCAACTGTGTTTATTTGAAAGCATGACCCGGGCTAAGGTAACAGAAATCTATCCCTGAGGTCTGTGGAGATTGATGACAAACCAGATGTGTGTGGCTCAAAAGAGCTCTTTCAGGAAACATAAAAGTACTCATTTATGCCTTTTTATCTCCTGTATAGATGTGAAATGGTTCATCTTCAAATGGAAATCTGCCATGGGGAGTTTTGACTAAGAAAACTCAAGGAAGGACAGAACTCAAAGGATTTATTTCACCCTATATCATCAAGAACATCTTAACTCAGCTTAATTGTTGGGCAAGTTAAAGTTTGAGCAAACCTGTTCTAAATTAAGTCCCACGGGTCTCAAGGGAGATTCAGATTTTTCCATTAAGAGTGTTTTACAGTGCCAATAACAGAAACAGAGCTTTTAAGATGTGCTTTTGTCCGATAACAGTCAGCAAGGTCCCCACAAGAGCTGTTTCATGTATATTTATCTCCAGTTTGTTATGCATGACTTATTATGACTAACCGACAAACAACACAGCATCTGATCAGAACCTGTCAGATGAAAAAAAAAAAAAACAAGCATTCCATCCCAGTTGGTCTTAAGATGTTGGAATTATTGCTCCTTTTGACTTTTAGACTACAAGTTGGACCTCTGAGCTATCCATCTCTGCCATAACAGGTGAAGCCTGTGTACCCTAAATTCATACGGTTAAACTTAACTATCTTGTGTTCGATGAATAACTAAATCACTTTGTTTCCCAAAGGTGTTACTAAAGTCTGCTAAAATTGTAACAGTTACAGTTGATTTTTAGGGCTTGAGTAGGGTGGATTGACGCCTGCCGGCAGAAGACAGAGTCAAGGCGTTTTCTTTGGAAAGACGCCAGCACTACAAGAAATGCTTCAACATGCTGCTGGTGGTTTGGTCATCTGTAATACTCATACTGACAGCACAAGTGTTTTCTCTTGAATAACCGATGCTGGTTAGAATGGGTTTCGATTTGATTTGGGGAAGGAAGACTCAGAGATTCGATAAAGAAATCTAAAATAAGATCATAAGAACACATTCTCTATAACGAGATCAGCGTGGAAAATCTAAACAGATGTCAGCCTTTATAAACTCCTACACCCAACGCCCATTTATTTTTTTCCTCTCACTCCCATTTACAAGTGTTGTTCCAATCCCAGAGTTTGATAAAGAGCCCAGTTCTGGCGCAACAAGTCCTTCATTCCAGCCGCGTCCCTGTTCTCACATCCTCTATAGACGCACAACTGCGCGTCTCCCGTTGAAATAACGGTGCGCTGAGAGGCTCCAGGCATCTGCTAATACCATCAAAGCCTTTATCTGAACTGACTGCTCTATCGCCACGTCTACGTGGCAGGTATACTTTTGATTATGAAAAGATGCCCACTCTTAGGCATATGTGCATAGTAAGACACAGCGGTCCACATAAACCTATACATGTACCCCCCTCTATGTAACAAATGTTAAATTATGGGGAAATCTCTCAACAGTGAGGATAAGATATCAAATACTTACAGTGTCCTGCATGCAGTGAGAGCAGTGGGTAGGTGGTTTAGCTTACTCCCTGACTGGTTCCTGGATGTCCAACTCAAGTTTGATCCGGAGTGTCTAAAATTCCTCCAACAGACAACTCATACAGACTCTGCCTGCGCAACTCTGAAGTCAACGCCGCAGCGGTGTAATATAAGATTTAAAATCCAACATGCAGCCAGGTAACCCTTTCATTTTATGTCCGTGCGGGGAAAAAAAAGCGAAAGATCGGTCAAATTTTCCCACCGCTATGTCCCGATTTTGTTTGTTTTTTGGCTTTGTTGTTTTTTGGCCGTTTTTTTTTTTTCAAAAATTTTTTTGCAAGTTGTTTTAATTTCCCCCCCAGATATCGAAGCCTTTGCGCTCTCTGCTTCGTCTCCGTGCCTCTCTGCGCTGGCGCGGCTCTCTCCCTCTCTCTCTCCCCCTCTCAGTCTCTCTGGCCGACAGACTGCCACACAGACTACACAGGACGGGACCTTTGTCCGCATGTGACGTCACTCACACGCACAAGCCGACACGGTGATAGAAATGCCATATCTTTTATCAAGACAGGACGTTTACAAACAGACTACATTGCAATTTTATTTAGAGAACAGGATGACACACAGTTACAGCTAAAACCTGAAAACACGGCTGCACACTGAAATACAGTGCACAGAATACACAAGCAGCTTTAATACAGCTGAGTGCGTCACATAGCGTCACATAGCACTGTCTGCTCCATTCCCACAGCTTAGACTAAGGAGTTTTTTGAAATGTCCCTCTATAATCCAAGTGCAAACAATATATACCCAAAGGTACCATAACCGGAGCTTTTTCTTTGTGTCTTGATCTTGACAGATCAAAGTGAATTTTGTATTTTGCAAACTAACACCTAGTTAAAAATAAAAAAGCTCTCTTTTGCCAGGATGCTCTCACAAGTTGTTCCTCTTTAGTGAGCCAGAAAGCTAAACAAGTAGAGTGACTATTCATTAGCTAGTGAAAAAAAGTATGTCTATTTGTCTGAATTGCCTGTGAATAACTGCATTTCATTTGAAATAGGGCTTCATGAGTTATACTAGAAAATCAACAAGTTGTTCAGTTTGCACTGCATGCATAGTGGTGTATTGGCCTTGACCCCCTTATGCTTTGTAAGTCATTTCTATAAACAGATTCTGTATATGAATCTGTAGGTGGGCTCTTTGGTACCAGCAGTTGTGTGGTATCCAAGCTTTACTTGTAGGCCAAGTAAACATGTCTATGGGAAAAGAGGGACTGCACATGCTATTGCTTGAAGATTTTTTTTTTGACTGGCAAATGGAACAGGAAGTGTCAGCTAAAGTGAAGATTTTTACTTCGGGCTGAAATCTATGCCTCAGATACATTGCATCTGCAAGCTCCTCTCATAGCCTACAACGTAGTCGTGACCTGGCGTGCACTCTTCTGGAAAAGTAGCTACACATTCTAGCAATGCAATCATAGTGCCAATACAAGGAATCACAAAGGTCAGCAAACTTACAGAGGGATAATGCCAAAACTATCAGAACAGATGTGAGGAAATGTACAAAGAAGTAGAATAATGTGTGAGAGAAATATGTCTGTCTTTGAAAGCCACAGTCCTCTACAAATTCCTGGTATTTTCTAAATTGGTTGGCATTTCATGTAAAACACGACACAGCTACAAGCTAGTTAGCACATACAACACATAAAGGATGGTAATCATGCAGACCACCTATGTAGGTTATGTGACTTCCTTGCAGAAGTCTAAATCAGGCATACGGCCAGAATTGCTTGCGTCCAGGGGCTACATTAGCATGTAGCTAATAGGTTACAAGATCACACCTATTGCAGCTCATCGAGGGGTTTAAGTACTGCTTCTGATGACTAAGGCTACGTCCCTCGTTTTCTCTTCGTTTTGGCCTCCCGTCCACACTGAAACAGCATTTTCCTCAAGGAAAAACGCAGCGTTTTGAAAACGCTCTTAAAAACGCATACATTTCAAAACGGAGCTGTCCCGTTGCAGTGTGGACACTCAAAAATGCAGACTTTCTAAAACGATGATGCATTTTAGTCATGTGATGCAGTCATGTGACCAATTAAACAAAGATAGCGGAGTGCATTGTACAGCAGTTGTTTTGATTGCTCTCAATTTTGACAGTCCTAAAAAAAGATTAATATCAGTTTGTACATGCTCCAGATAGCTTTTCTTCAAATTCTTTAATTCTCACTTGCATTTGCGCATGCGCAGGACTGGAACGTAAGAGTTTTGGGCCATTTCAATGTGGACGCACAACTCTGTGAAAACGACTGAAAACGCTAGTGTGGACGCGGAGCGTTTTCAGACGAAAACACCGTTTTCAAATCTATCCGGGCTAGTGTGGACGTAGCCTTAGAGTTACACTTCTGACACACTCACCAAAGTCTGATGCACAGTTTCACACCATTTAATAAAACACAGTGAACACGCCCATGTTCCTATAAACTGAATGTGATCCTGCAGTTTTGGAATTTTGGGAAGAACCAAAAATGCAGGGAAAAGAAGGTGTCTAATTTGATATATCAAATCTGGAAAAATGTGTTATGTTTTTTCTAAAAGGTGTGGCATCCTAACTCAATAAAGCCTGAGCCTGCCCTTAAATTTAGTGCATGTGAAACTTTATTAACAATAAGTGCTGTTATTTTCTCACTTAAGCTATCATGTAAAAATGCTAGCCTATAGAAAAATGTAAATGTCCTCCTACCAAAGACATTTCTTGTAGTATTCCTTGTCAAGAATTGTTCTTTATCCCTGCGCACCTAATTGGAAACACATTTTTTTTTTCCTGGTAACTTCTTAAGAAAGAGACAGGAAGGGAGGGGTGGGGTGATGCAGAGAGAGAGAAAGGTTTGAGACCGAGTGACTCAAAGACATATTGTATTCCTTGCCAATTAACCCTCCACATAGAAATATTTCCTTCTGTCTGCCTGTGCGTGTGTCCAAGTGAAGTTAAACCTTCTCATCTGAAGTTCCATGACTTTGAAAAAGCGTTTGGCAGCGACAGTTATGTCTGCCAGCTTCACACCATCTGTGAACACTTAGCGAGGTGTTTGCAGTAAACCAACCATCGAGGCTGAGGAATGAAATCAAGCGTTAAAGTTACACACATTGAACTATAAGTCATTTTCTCATTTGTTTCATTTAGTTAAATATGTCAATTACATTTAATAATATGTAGCAGAAATTTCCAAGCAAAGCAAAATAATGCAGCTTTTATTTTTTCACAAGTTGTGCTGGTAGCAACACTCAGACATTACACAGAGCAAAACTGCAAGCAGACTACAGGCCATATTAACCATAGCTGGAGAATTTGTTGAAAAATCAGAAATAACAATTAAAAATTAAACTTTCCTGTGGTTGCTCTTCTAATTCCATGTGGCGGAATATTTCAGTATCAAGCATATATCTTGCAGTACCTAATGACAGCATCTGTGAGACAATAGCTACTTTTAGCTGCCCCTGTGCCACAAGGGGTTGCCACACCAGATAGCTCTGAACACATGCCCAAAGGGGATTTGTACGGTGGCCCTGAGAGGTCAAATGTACTGCAACTTAAGAAAACACCAGCAAACAGAAAAATGCTGAGTAAAGCACAATAGAAATATAGGGTGTATCACAAAGAATCATCCAATTTCAAAGTGTAACTCTGTAGCTGTTCACTGGTAAACGTGCCCTTAGAAAGGGGTGATTTATGAGTTTCACACTGTTAGAAAGACAGGAGTCGTGAGTTTCACGTGGTTGCTGGTAGCTACCATAACATCACCAGAGGATGCAGTAACTCCAGACAAAAGTAAGGGATGATGCAAAAGCTTAAAAAAAATCACAAAACAAAACTGAAGTGTTTTTGTGGCAATAATAATTCGATGGAACAAGCTAACTGTAATAGCAAACATGTTCTTACAGTATACGAACACACCTTACCCTGCATCTTTTTCTCCCTCACAACACTGAGGAATCCTCCACTTGTTTTACATTTCAGTGCAGTTCTTAGCATTTTTTAGTTACTGTAACTTCCATAACTTTATGTAGGGAAACTTGTTAATGTGACCCCAGAAACACATTTTGTTTTGTGAGATGCTTCTGTTAAATTTCTATTATGTTTTCTTTAATTCCATTGTGTGTGTTTTAATTTATTTATTATTGCTGTTGTATTTTATGTGCTTTTGCAGTGTTTTTCTATTTGCTGATTCTTCACTCACTGTGTTTTTGACCTCTCAGGGCAAACTTAGATTTATATCTCCAGCTGGAGTCAAACCAGTGACCTTTTGCTTGACAAGTCAGTGTGTGCACCACTGCGCTGCTATAGACACCAACTATGACACAATACGTGTTGAAAAAGAATAAGAAACTTGTATGATTGTCCTCCAGTCAGCGAGCGCGTTTTCTAAGATGGCTGTGCCCGCTTTACAATTTGTAAAGGTTTTGTTAAACACAAAAACTACTACTTCAAAGTTAACAAAATAAAACAGCTAAGAATTTAAGAATTTGTTCCAGTGTTCAAAGTGTAGTCAAATACACTCACCAACCACTTCAGTCGGTATATGTTTAACTACTCGATAGCAGAAATATCTAATCAGACAATCATATGGCAGCAACCAAGTGCATTTAAGCATTTAGACATGGTACAGACAATAGGATATCAAATCATCTCAAACTAAGGTCTCTGGCTTGTCTCTCTGCGTCATCACATCTCAAAGAAACAGAGCACCTTTGAGATGTTTTGGAATGGGAGATTCATGTAATGGATGCACTGCAAATCTGCAGCAGTTGTGTGGCGCTATCAAGCCAACATTGACCAAAATCTCAGGGGAATCTTTTTTGGCACAGTGGGTATCAAAGCTCTCTGGAGTGAATTCGTCACCTGTCCTTTTGACCTTCCTGAAAAGCTGATTCCAACATTAAGGAAATCTGAAAATGTATCACATTTTTCAACATTCAGGATGAGCTCAGCATTATTTATCAAGATTCTCTGCCACTATAGTTGTTTGTTCTCATATTCCATCTATGTAATCTGGCCCATATATATACCATACCTATACCATAATAAAGTGAAGAAAAGAAAGAAAAGAAAGATCCAAATAAGAAAATACTCATAATTATGTTTCCAAGATATGAAAGGCAGTAATATGATGTATTTTAAGCAGCAGTTCCTGGCACACTTAGGGGTGAAAGAGGAATGAACTACAATGAACCTAGTGATGGGGGAAATCCGTTTGCTTTGAGCGATTTGTCAAAACGGTTGCATAACCTCTATGCTACATTTGTGCTCTTGTTGTAACAGAAGACCCTCTATTTCACACAAGTTTAACAGACTAAATTTAAACTATGGTGTCCCACAATGGAAAGCAAACATCTGCAAGTTGGCCAAAGGAGAATCCCACCTACTGTACACAGTGAAGTCTCACGTCTACATGGCTGC